CCTCTTTTATCGTCCTCTCCATCCTTGCTGTGTCCTAGGCACCCCGCCGCCCCCCAAAAGATAAAGTCTGCCATCAGGTGTTTGTTTACTTTGCAACGCAGCGGTCGTAGAACGCTCGGGCTTCCTCCGGCGTTTCAAACAAGTGGGTTTCTCCTTTAAACGTAACTTTAAGACGGGCAGGGAAAAGAAGACGAAACGACACACCTCTCTGGTAGAGAGCTCCTTTTACGTCGTTAAATACCGACCTTTTCTTTGCAAGAGCGATGCTGAGATCTGGATATATTCTCAGGGTGGTTCCCTGATGTTTTACTTCATGCTGCCTGGACCATCTTAAAGCGGCTTCCTTTTCCCGGTATCGATGGAATGCAAGGATGAAGGGCCGCGGTGGTCGTCCGGCTGCGGGCTTGGGTCCAGCTGTGCGGTGCGCGCGCTCCAGTTCCGGGGGAGAAGGAAATATGTCGTCCCCCATGGCATCCTTTAGCAACTTGGAGATAAACTTAGTTGGATCTTGGCCGTCTTCACTGCCTTCAGGTATGTTAAGTATGCGTAGATTGGATCTGCGAGATCGATTCTCCAGGTTTTCCAGGCGCTCCAGCAAGGTTGCGTTTTGAGTCTGGAGAGTCTTAACAACCGCTTCGGCTTCACAAATGCGTTGAAAGTTATCGCCCGCCAGGCTTTCCGCTGCTACAAGGCGGCCCTGAAAAGAGCCAACTTCGTCCCGCAGTCCGTCCACCGACGCTTGTAGAGGCCGAATCGACTCTTGAATTAAAGTGGCCACATCCTCTTTAAAGTTGTTCCGTTGCTTAGATAGTTCTGTGACCAGTTGGGACATGGAAACAGGATCTCCGCATTTACTTTCGCCAGGTGGTTCAGTGTCGGAGGGGGCCGCGGCCATTAAGGCTACCTTGCTAGCTAGGCTATTCGTTCGCCTGGTTGAAGTAGAAAGCTTTTGTTGTTTAGGATTATCACTAGCCATTATAACGTCGCGAAGGTACAGGAACAGTGTTTATGTCAGTCCGGTGCTTGATAGAAGTATATAACTCCGGTTTTAAGGTAATTTAAAGAAAGTTGACCGGGAGCTCCTTCACCCTGCTTCCTCCTTCTACATCGCCAAACCGGAAGTCTCCGTTATGGGATTCTTTCCCAGTTCAGCCAACAAGACCGCAGACCCACAGAGCAGG